ATTCCCCTGTTTTAACAAAAGGACAGGGAGAGTGAGCATATTTGGGATTTGGTTTCGTTGCTCTCCAGATTCTGCAGAGTCTGTAAATTGATGCTGAAATCTTTGATATAATAAACCTTTATAATCAAAGTACAGTGTCAGCGGATTTCTTATCAACACATCATCGCAGCATCGTTGTTCACCACCACAAGAGCTTCAAGTTCCTAGGTGTCCACATCACCAACAAACTATCATGGTCCAAACACACCAGGATAGTCGTGAAGAGGGCACGACAAAGCCTATTCCCCCTCAGGAGACTGAAAATATTTGGCATGGGTCCTCAGATCCTCAAAAAGTTATACAGCTGCACCATCGAGAGCATCCTGACTGGTTGCATCACCGCCTGGTATGGCAACTGCTCGGCCTCCGACCGCAAGGCACTACAGAGGGTAGTGCGTACCGCCCAGTACATCACCGGGGCCAAGCTTCCTGCAATCCAGGACCTCTATACCAGGCGGTGTCAGAGGCCCTAAAAATTATCAAAGACTCCAGCCACCCTAGTCATAGACTGTTCTCTCGGAGCGCCAAGTCTAGGTCCAAAAGGCTTCTTAACAGTTCTACACCCAAGCCATAAGACTCCTGACAGCTAATCATGGCTACCCGGACTAAAAATATTTTTTGAGTTTGCCCCACCAAGATTTACATGCTAAAATCGCCACTGATGATACAGTATGTTACGAATTCTAGCTAGGTGGCTAACGTTAGCTAGCTGGCTAACGTTAGCTAGTCTAGGGGTTAGGATTAGGGGTTAGGGTTAAGGTAAGTGTTAAGTTTAGGAGTTAGGTTAAAGGGTTAAGGTTAGGGGAAGGGTTATCTAAAAGGGTTAAGGTTAGGATTAGGGGAAGGGTTAGCTAACATGCTAAGTAGTTGCAAAGTAGCAAAAAAAGTAGTAAGTAGTTAAAAAGCTACTAATTAGCTAAAATGCTAAAGTTGTCCATGATGAGATTCAAACGCACAACCATTGGGTTGCTAGACATTTGAGACATTTGTTTTTGTCTTAAGTAACCATACCAAACATAACATATTATACTAATTTGAGTATCCCTGATTTATATTTAGTGTGTTACGTCTAGTCTATGAGACCAGGCTGACGTCCCCGGTTCCCAAGGTCTATTCTACACAATATATTTATATCTGAAGGAGGGCTTGTTCGCCTCCAGGCTGCCCTTGCTCAGCTCTAATACCTGCCTCCACATTATGAAGTTCCATTCTGAGGCTGTCCCTTACTGTTCTACCTTATAAAACGGGGAAAAGCCTCCAGGCTTAGACCTATAATGAACCATAGAGAGTTCCGTCTTTGATGGCAGACTGCCAGAGCTGGCATTGACACACAGAGAGGAAAATATAGGGAAGTGCGTCACCTTGTGGTGATGATGATAAGTGCATCATTGAAATAAATTATAAATACAGCTCTAGCCACAGGTTTCCACAGAAGCAGTTTACGCTTCTCCTAAATCTCAAGCAAATCATATCTAATCTAATTTTATTGGTCTAATACACATATTTAGCCGATTGTATTGCGGGTGTAGCAAAATGCTAGTGTTCCTAGTTCCAACAGTGCACAACAATACACACAAATCTAAAAAAGTAAAAGAATGGAATTAAGAAATATAGAAATATTAGGACGAGCAATGTCGGAGTCCAGAGTATGTATGTATATACACTACCAGTCAAAAGTTTGGACACACCTACTCATTCAAGGGTTTTTCTTTATTTTTACTATTTTCTACATTGTAGAATAATAGTGAAGACATCAAAACTATGAAATAACACATATGGAATCATATAGTAACCA